TTTTTTTCTTGACTGCGTGAGGATTTTGATTAGTCCAAAAGTGTTGATTTCTCCTATTGAAAATACCTTCTCTAGAAAATTTAGCTTCATCGATCCATATTATTTTTTTTTAGAAAGTTTGGATGCTCATAAGTGTGTGTCAGAAGTGTCTCTCAATATTGAATTTGACGTTGCTAATCATCCGGTTTCAGCTGTTGAACTTTAGTGAATTTAAAGGGATGCATACTACGATCGTTAAAATTTTTTTGCACAGAATAATAGCTCAGGCCTGAATCACCTGCTGCACTTCGGATGGAAACTTGGGAATATGCGTGAGAGTAGGCTGAAACATTCACGATGTTGTCTTCATCAGACGTTACAGGCTTGGGTAAGCTTGGGTTCGTTCTTAATTTTTGAACCAAATTGTATGAAGTTATTTTTTGTGCAAGCGTCCGCAAAATTCAATTTCGCGGCCGTCACACCTGACGTGCAAAATGTGTCAAATCCTTATCAAATTTATACAGTTTTTCTGTAACTTGACATAATTTTTATAGTTGCACAAAAAATAGTGTGTATACCATGACCGCGAAATTTTTTAGCGTCCTTGAGATCATCTTGCCTCGGCGATAACTTTTCTCTACGTACGCTAAAAAGGCATTTCGTGGCCTTGGTATACAAAACTATTGTGTTCGAACAAATTTTCTTTCATTAATTGGTCGTAAATCAGGGTACATTTCGTTGAACTTTCTGCATATTCTTGCCACAATTTTTTTGCAGATTTCTTCTTTTTGACGTTTTGTAAAGTTTCGCCGTGGGAAAAATCGAATAAACTTGCTGACAACTGATGGCAAGCAATTTCTTTAATTACAAATTATTTTTGACACCAAAATTATCACTTCTGATTGATCAAAATTAACAGGAGGGAAATAGTCATGGTGAAATGTATGGCCTACTTCCATAGATGCCTATAATACCTAAGACTTTTGTGACGTCATTGCATATCACACATTGTGAAAAGTAGAACATCTTATGCATTTGTTTTCAATCCTAGATAATAATCATGGTTCCAATATTTGCAATCACCTGGCATTGTAGAACATCGTGTGGTTTGAATGGTTTGAATTACCTAATATGTTTCATCGTGACATTTCATAGCTATTCAATAGCTACTTTCTGAAATGTAAATCCTGGATCGAGTAGGTTAATATCAGCTGATCGTGGTTTAGTACGTTTTCAGAGTAGATTATTCAACGTTTCCGAACGCTTGAGATCGAAGATGGCCGGCACCCGCGTTTGTTTTTTTCAATGAACTGTTTTTCTTCAACGATTTGAGGTTGTCTTTACCTTTAACTTTTCAAATACACTGCAAACCACCCCAAACACAACAAATCACAAGAATTCAAACAGAAAACTTGACAAGACAGAAAAAAACAGCTGATAGATTAATTTTCTACCCACGTCAAGAGCAGGGTTAATGAGATAACAAACGTATAAGAAAACCGAGCCAATAAATTCACTTAACGAACGCGAGTACTCGACTTCGGATCATTTTACGAACGATGAGATTACTAATCCGATCGAACCAATTAATCGGATCACACTTTCCAGTTTCCGAAAGTAGCTAATGACGATTCCGGTTGGTAGAATGAGTGCAAAGAAAATGTATTTCTATCTGTTTCTACAACAGGCTGAGAGAAAGAGATGAAAATACACTCAGAGCGAATTAAATCTACCAATCGGAAACGCCATTAGACAAATACATGGTCAGCCCTACGAAAGACTCCCTTCTAGCTAGAGCATCGACAGCTTGATTGCCTTTTGTCCAACTGACTACTACCGTGTTGTTGATGGACGCTTCGGTGAGTGTACGGTGGCAATGTTTTACTAGTTCTGTCGTGACTCGCGGTCTAGATAGCACTAGTACTGCTTGTCTGCAGTGTGTGGATGTGCATGATTTTGTCAGTGATACTGTTGCTGACTATTTGTTCGGCCGCGATGGTTATGCCAGTAATTTCCCATTTGGAGGACATAAGGCATAGAGCCAAGGGCTATAGCTAGGTTCAATTTGAGAGCTTTGGAGTATACTTCGCATCCCGAGCCTGTTTGAGTTTTGGAATCATCAGTGTAGATGTTACTCACCCCTGCCACTGTGTTGTTTCCAATGCACTACGCAATCCAGTGCTTTTTGAAGACGAAACATGGTGTTGCAGGGACCACTCTGGCCTCCAAAAATGGGAGCGAGTTCGTTGCCTCACGCCATATGCGGGCTCTGTGCATAGGTAAGCATTGGCCTGATGATGTTTGTATACATCCACATAACAACCTTGGGGGAGAACCCCCAGGTCTTACCGATACTACGTCTACACAGTTCAGAGGCGATATGTGCTTTCTGTATTCTGTTAGCAATATGAGATTTCCATGTTAGTTTGCAATCGAGTGTCACTCCCAGATATTTGACCTCGGCGGCAAAACTTAGCTCGGTGTTTGGGAGTCTGGGTGCTGTCAGAAGTACCAGGTTCCTCTTTCTTGTGAATAGGAATATTTTAGTTTTTTGGGGTTGATGAACAGAGCATATTCCGCGCACCATCTTTCTATAGTTCGAAGAGCATGTTGTATTGCATGCATTCGCAAAGCGAGTTCTCGAATTTACCTCTATGCAAGATGACAACGTCATCTGCATAAGCTTTTTTGTAGTGGTTGTCATTGTTTAGGCGGACAATGGGGCTGTCCAGAACCATTTTCCAGAGGAAAGGTGATAGCACGCCTGGCAGCCTCTTGTGACAATTCCTTTAATGTTAACGTCCTGCACACTTATATGTACAATTCTTTTGGAAAGCATATTTAATATCCATCCGGTAACAGTTTCCGGAGTATTCCTTTCTGTTGGCGAGTGGCTAATTTTTTGAAAAGTGGTTTTGTCAAAGGCTCCCTCAATGTCGATGAAAACCCCGAGGGGAATTCTCTGTTGTCCAGCGATTTTTCCACTTGCCCAGCAACCAGGTTAACCCGGGAGTACACGCGTGTCGGTCAAAAGGACCGAGCATTGATATAATCAGTTATTACGCCACTGGTACAAGGGTGGCAGTTTTGTCCATCCAAGAATGCCTGATGCAGGTTTTCCACTACCCATTGACTGAAAAATATTTTTGTTTTTTGTTAAAGTATAGTTCGTTGTTTTCAAAGTCGGTGCTTTTGACCAGGCGTGTGAACCTGAGTATTTAAAATATTTATGTTCAAAATTGGCATTTTCTGATATTGGGAGTACCGTGGGTTGTCGATAACACGTACTGCCTAATATAATTCCCTTTGATATCATTATGAATTCTAGGAATTATAGTGGTTTTACACTTTTTTTGCGGAAACGATTCCAAACGTATCCTGAACGCTAAGGCATGACTTACGCAGGTATTATTTGAAAGTTTAATGTCTCTATTGATTAGTTAACCTTCGTAGGTCATGCCTTAGCGTTAAGAATACGTTTGGGAACGTCTCCGCGAAAAAAGCTAATAATTCATATAAACATTTGGGCATTCGGTCGATTTGACCGAACGCGTGTAATGACGGAAGTTTTTTGACACGTGTAATGCCGGGTTAAGGGCTGTGTCCGTTGATCTTCCGGAGGTATATGCGTTTATTAGGGTGGAGTGGATTGATTGACAACACTTCATCCCTTATGTACCTTTCGCATAGCCTCTCCATTGTTTTTAGAGAGAGTGATGAGAGGCTTATGGGGCGATATGCCTTGGGGGTGGTGTAGTCCATCCTCCCTGGTTGGGAAAGGAACACCACTCTAACTTCTCTTCAAGCCGTGGGTATGTATCTCAGCACCAAGAACGCTCTGAACATCCCTACCAGGTGCGGCAAGAGTGGCTTCAGACCCCACTGCTGTAGGGCTGGATAGATGCCGTCAGGTCCTGGTGCTTTAAAGGCGGAGAAGCCTGAAATTGCCCAACCTATTTTTTTCCTCGTATATTATCTGATTCGCTAGTTGCCTATCAGCCACAGAGGGTATGTATGTTACCTGCATCTGATCCTCCACAATTGTGGTTGTGGAGTCAGGAAAGTGGGTTGCTAGTAGTAACTCTGTGCTTTCTTGAAGGTTGGCAGTGAAGGTGCCATTCTCCTTGCGCAGGATACCGATTTCCCGAAATGGGTTTTTATTAAGAGCTTTCTGAAGTCTCGCCGCTTTCGTATAGTTCTCTATTTCGTTGCAGTATGTCCTCCAGGCATCTCTTTGTTTTTGCGTACGACTTTTTTATACTGGTTGAGTTGGTACCTATAAAGGTTCCAATCCTCAGGCAGTTTGGTGTTTTTTAGCTTTATTGAAAGCTTTTGTTGTCGTCGCTCTGAGGTGTTCCAGTTCAAGCAGAGGTGTTACCAGAGATTTGGAACATCCTCAGTGGGCTCGACATCTTATAGGATTTTATGATGGCACCTTGAATGGTATTGGCATACCGCTCCAATTCTTGGTCATCATTGGGTGTTTTAACTGCAACCTCTCCTAGATCCCTTTCCAGACCTTGCACGAACTGTGTACTATTGGGTTTTCTTGGGTCACGATAAGGTCTTGTGGTTTTAGGTGAGCAGTTTATTGTGAAAATTATCCATTGGTGATCCGACAGAAACTTCATCAGATACGCGCCAATTATGGATTGAATTTGAAATACTGAGCATAGTGTTATATCTATTACAGTTTGACTACGAGAGTTTAAAAAAGTTGGTATTGTGCCGTTATTTCATATGAACTGAACAGATCATTACCTATTATCACAGAAAATTTAAAAAAAAAAAAATAATATGAAACCTATGACAATCATGGGGATAAAAGTTCTTTACTACTCGCTGAATAAATAGTGTGCCTTGGATGGAAATACCAAATCATTACGATTTTGCATTCATTTTCAAAACATCATGTAGGTAGATTAAATCTAGTTTTGCCTTCTCTAAGGAAATTGTCATGAGCCGCTTCTGATTAAAATACGAAATCAGATAATGGGTAATACTAATAAAAATGCTCAAAATCAATTTTTATTTATCTTTTTTATTTATTTTTCCCTTAAAACTAAGATGGCAAATTTTGTATTTCTTAAATAAATTAACTATTTTCAAATAAATTTCAATTAATCAAATATTGTCCTCCGGTAGCCTTTCCTTGCCCCAACTGCCTCTCAAACCTTTGCTTGTTCTCCTCATAGACATTTTTCAAATCGCCACTCTTTTCTACGGGTAAAGCCCTTCCTTGATCCTGAGTAATGATTCCTGTAGGATAATCAAAGGCATAGAAAAATCCTTTTGGAGGCCCTGTGGATTCTTCACCTTCTTCTGGAACGTATTTGCCTTCGTTGTCGTCGGGTTTGTAAGCGCCTTCATTGTCTTCTGGATTTCCAGGAGCTTGAGCGTAGGAGTCTTGTTGAGCGGAAGTAGCTGAAAATTTGATTTGTTGTAGCGTTTTGGACTATGATTCTTGATGTTTGTTTTGCATCCTGCCTAAAGGATTCAACCACAAGAAATTGCTAAGCCCAGAAGAGAATGCAAAGCAAGCTTGAAAACATTGGCAAGATTTAAATACATCAAAAAATATAAAAGTTCAAAATATTTAATTTTAAAGAATTAAACATACCTCCTTGGACTACATGTGCAGCAGCAACTCCTGGAGCTTGGGAATAAGAGTTCTGTTGACCAGAAGCAGCTATAAATAAATCGATTGAATATTAAATTTTTAAAATTTTAGGTTTGCCAACACAAACCTCCTTGAATTTGTTGTCCTTGAGGTCCAGATCCGGCAGTATACTGTCCATTGACATAAGGATATGGTACTGGATGAGAGTTTCTTTCAGCTTCCTCGTGCCATCTCTTCAAGAAAGTTTCTTTGGCGGCCTGGACAGCTGGAGAATCTTCAACTTGCTTTGGAAGGATTTGAGGTATGTTATCGGTTTGATGGAAACCGTTTCCGTTATCCCAATATTCAACCTATAAACAGGTAAACGTTGAAAAAATAAAATTATTTATGGAGTCAGTAGAAGGTTATAGGGGAATTTATACAACGTGTGGTTGTGTGTTAGTTTCAAAAAAGAGGTAATTTTGGATGTCTCGGATTCTTACTTTGATTTCCTGTCCAGCTCCATTGATGTAATTATAAGCTCCCTTCAAATCCCCACTAGGCTTTTTTTGCTCATTTTTAGCAATATGTGGTATTTGGTACCCATAAAGATAACCTCCCAGTCCATCTTGCCCATGATATTGCTTAGCCAAATAAATATCTTCTAAAACATTATGAGGTTCTTCGCCTAAAAATCTCACAGCTGGTACGTCACTTTCGATTTTTGGGGCGTACTTCAAAGTTTGATCTTGTTGTTCGATGAGGTTTTGGGCATCATTGGGCTCCAAATCTAATAATCTGGTTTCTTCGGCCAGCGATTGATGATGGAAAAAGCCTATGAGGGCCACCTTAAAATAATTTTGAAAAAAACATTAAGAATGCCATTAAAGAAAGAATTCAGCCTATTAAAACGGGTTTTGTTAAATTTATTATCCACGTTATCGTGAAATGAAGAAGAAAATTCTTAGACCAAGACTCAGGTGGGATTTAGAATTTATATGTATAGAATTAACATAATTTATTTATTTTGTAATTTTTGAGAATCGAAGTGACATAATACTTCGTAATCTTAGAAATGTTAGCCTTCGTAACAATAATAATACGTGTTTGGTATAAGTGTGTAGAATTAATTTTCTCGCACTAATAGGTACATACATTTTATACAAAAATTAGTATTTGTTTATAATAGTTACCTAATTGATAGTTTTGGAATAATGACTAACGGAACCGTCGCACTAGCAGAAAATTGGAGCTTTCGTTGTTTAAGTTCACATAAACTTATCGATTCCGATTTTCGAAATTACTGTGTGCTTATAATGACTATTTAACATCATAAAATTTATGATTTTGTGTTTTAAAGCCTACAAAATAGGATCAAAAAATCATGAGGAGATTTACAAATTTCAGTCAAAGCCTCAGAACTTTTGAGAAAAAAATAACTTCAACTTCCTCCAACTAAATCCCAAAACCCATTTGTCTTTGAAAATCTAAAATTTTAATGTTCACGCGAATAAAAACTGCAAATTACACATTATACATAATTATTAAGTCTATTTACATACCAAGGCTAAATACTGCCTCATCATAATTTGGAATTATTATTTTCGAATCCAAAATATCAGCCACAAAAAATACGGATTCACTTCAAACTGGAACTGAATCTCTAGGGTCGTATTGTTTTTATATCTATATGAATTCAACAATTAATACTAATTCGCTATGTCTCAATCATTGACTATTTATATCTCGATATTCCGCATCTTCACCCCCACTAGACGCAGATGAAGATGCTGCTGCTGCTACTGTGAATCATTTTGGTACTCCATCAAAGGTTAAAACAGGGTTCGCTTCTTCCTTGTATGTTTTGTCCGTGAAGGTAATTAGTGTTTTATTTCATGTTTTGTGTTTTCGAATAACACACCTATCAGAATTTGCGGTAATGCGCATAAGAAATTAATTTGAAAAAAAATAATTTCAATATTCCGTGTCTTAAATTATATTTTTAAATTTGTTGGTATTTTTTTATAAATTTCTTCTGGATCTTGAATGTGGACAATCTCTAGATTATCTGTAGCTTATCCTAAAGTCCTTGTTTGATCCTATATTATCATTTTTCCTACATTCTACATGACAAAACTTGAGCTAGCAAGCTAGAGTCGGAATTTGCTCTTGAGCAGTTTTTTTTTTAATTTTCTTAGTCTAATCTGGAATAAAAAGAAAATCTTCTTACAGATTCCAACTTCACTTTACAAACAGTAACAATTTTTATTTTAAAAATTTCCTTAATAAAAATTCACTTATCGAAAAGTACACTCGTATTAAAACTGACTACGCGCTATTTCGGATTTATCTAGAAGTATTTGTTAAGTCGACCATAATAAAATTCCCAGAACAGACGCGCTCTAGACGTATAAACAAGTGGCTTCCTAGAGTCTGGCTGGGCTGCATGGAGGTAAGTAACACCCTGTTTAGCATTCGGCAATCCCTTCGACAACGGTTCGGTTTTTTAAATGTAACACCCGTGGTTGCATGGATGTGCGCTTTATTGAGTGTTACTTACCCTCGGTATTAGATAAGCCTATTTACTATTACCATCTTGTAGATAATCATTTTAGGGCATTGAAATTTTAAAACATGAGTATATAAGTGCAAAATATAATAATTAATATTGTTATATTAATATAAATTATACTGTACGTTCGTAATTTAGCAGATAAAAATTATAAAAGAGTCAATATTTTTCGAAAAACCTCAGACACTAATTTTAATTTAGGAGAACATCTTTTTCACTATTTTTATACTTGTGGAACATCAAAAAATCCAAAAAGAAGGCCAGGTTTCACATTTTTAAATAACACACTGTATATGACCTATTTTTATTTGTTTTTTTTTTTTGTAAAATAACAAGGGATTTAATAATATATAGGGTGGGCTCAAAAAAATCGGAATTTTGTTTTTGAGCTGTAATTTTTTTTGTTGTTGACTAGTTTTTGAGATACAGGCTGCTTTCTTTTACGTACATAACAAATATAGACTACAAAAGATTCAGAATAATTGTACGATATATATTGAACGTAAATAGATGAGAACATGTTAACTCTTTACATTACTAACAGTGAAATGCTCAAGATGAAGGAAAGAAGATTTTTACATCTCGCAGTTTTGATACAAGATATTATTTGGAACAATTGCCCAGAATATCTCTCCGAACTATTGGTAAGGCTTGGTGACATTCATACCAGGTCAACAAGGAACATAGATACTTTCGAAAAGCCATTACATTGTACTGAATTTTTTCAATCTTCTTTCTCTTACTTGGGCCTATATGTGTACATGATACCAAAAGGAAATACAAAAAGTAGGGTCTGCAAAAATTAACGAGCGAATAAATAAAATACAGAAAGTTTGAAACATAAAAAACTAATAATATTATATCTACCTATACTATGTATCTAATAAAGGCATTACTTTTTAACATTATGTGAATGCAAATCTGTCTAGGAGTCTAGGGTAAGTAACACCCGATAAAGAAACTCTCCGTTGCGATATCGGGTGTTACATTCAAATTTGCGAACGTGAGCCAAATTGGTGTTACTTACCTCCATGCGGCCGGGCTCTTGATGCAATTCCGTAAGAATATATTATTATTTTTTTAGATCAGATACAATTTTGTATAGATGCTATTGCTCTATATCGGCTTCATTTTTCATTAGTATCAGAATATCTCAACTTCGTAGGTAGGTAGGCATTTTTCGGTAGCAACCATCGTATCGTTAGCCAATATAGCAGAGTTGAATTTTTTTTCTAGAATCTGCGTAGAGCAAAAGTATATGTCACAAAATTGCATTTTTCCCTATAGTAATTACCACCTCTAGATGTATACTAAGTTGCGATTACGAAGGTATAAATTAAACCATGACAACAAGGATAAGAGTTTGGGTGAGCCTAATTATGGGGTCTCATTTCTCATTGGAGACAGACTTGATCTGTATAGTTTCTGACTCAGTCTCTTCTATTAAATCTCAGAATCACCTTACCAAATTTACTGAAAATACCACATAATCATCTAGAGGAAAGACTGAATTTTGAAAAATAGAGTTGTGTGAGAAGCGATGTTAGTATTGATAAAAGGACACATAATTTTTTTCGAAAATGAGTTTCAAGTTTGAATGTGAGACAATCTGGAATCAAGACAGACAGAGAAATAGGGTTTGGGATGATCCAAAATCCAAGTTCACATTTATTCTCGAATTATTTTCCATCGAAATCAGAAATTGAAAAAGTTCAATGTTTTTCCTTTTAATACCAACAATTCTATGCATGACAATATTATGATATATGACTAACCCGAAAGTAAATAAAGAATTTCTGCTAATTTGTTCATATTTTTCTTCCTCGTTATTATAGTCTATTTTAAATAAAATACCATGATATGGTATTTAAATCAACAATGGATGGGCTAACGCATAATCCTATATGATCGTGCAAGGTCAAAAAGATTTTAATTTCAGGTAGTTGTTAAATTGTTTTTGGGATGGGTCACAGTTAAAATTGTCACATTTTGCAAAATAATGAAATTCGTCACCACGTTAAAAAAAAAGTAAAATTGCAATATTCAAAACAGCACGCGTTTGGTTAGATTTTCGATGTTTTCGTTTGGAATGATGATTTCATTGTAGGTAATTATTATAATGATTGTAACGAGCATACAACTTTTGAAGATATCCTGTTTTTAAGATAAATTAACAAATTAATTGCAATTTTTAGCCTAAGGGTGACGGTAAAATTGTGTGTTTATTATGCCTCTAATTTTGAACTTGACTTCAAAAATCCTTGAACAAATTGATTTGGTTAACAAAGAGGATGTGCATCATGGATCTTTTCAATGAATTGAACAAAAAGTGTGAATTATTTCTTTTTGTATAAATATTTTTGATCCTTCAAACATATTCCATATTCAAGAATTCAGACCTATTGGAACTTATTGCGGAGTTAAAATACCCATAAAATAATACGAAGCGAGGTTCCTGGGTTCAAATCCCAGTCGAGGCAAGAAAATTTTAAAATTTTTAATTAATACGTCTGCATGCCACTAAAATAAACACGCTAATTTTAGGGCCAGATATTATAAAAAAAATAGATCGATGATGCAATAGATAAAAGATAGAATAGACGACACAAACATTGATGACATTTCGAATTTCGAGTTCAAGAAACTTTAAAAATCATTAGGTATTATTTGGTATTAGTAAAGCCACACAAAATAGCAATTTACCACATAAAAAAAAAACTTCAAAGCAATTAAAAGGGTCAAAAGAGATGTACCAAGCATATCTACTATAATGAAAAATATCATCGTCCAAAGACGTAAAGTACCTCTACTGATTTCCCAGTTGCCATTGTTGTTGGTTCTTTCCAAAGGTCCTCTCCAAGTGCTCTTATAGTTTCTCATACCCTCTCTCCAACTTTTTGTGGTTTTCCACTGTACCTTTTTGCTTGAGAACTCCATCCTATAATTTGCATTAGAAGTCGGTCTTCAAACATTCATGGTACATGGCATGGCACGTATAATTTCAGTTGTTTCACTTTGATGTCCATTATGCCGTAAGTTATTCTCATGATTTCTCTAATTCTAGCATTCGTGACTCTTCCGATTCTGGATCTCTCTGTTCGTCTTCAATAAACCATTCGCGTGGCTCTCTCCCTCCCTCAAAATAAATTACCTAGCTTTTATGTATCAAGAGAATCATGGGGGTGTTAATACCCCAGGGCAAAGTTTGTCACCACAATTGCCCGTTGTCCGTTGCTTCCACTATTTCGTCCTCTCCGGGTACGTTTTGACTCTTTCTTTCGGGAAGAGTGACGTATATTTCATCAACCGTTACTTCTGGATTGATTCCGAACCTTCATTTATTATTCCATCATCTGAGACATGTTTCTTCACGTTGAATACATGTTATACAGAATGTCCTGTGCCTTTGTTACACATACATACATATACTCTGTATACCAAGATCCTGAGTTTATCAAAGCCTCTATTCTAGAGGTTTTCGTTAACTTCAATTCAATAAACTGAATAACTAAATAGATGAATTACTCAAACCAGTCAACCAGAAATATTGGATATAGACATCAACTCCAGCAATGTCATCAATGGATTTATCGAAATCGAACTTTTTAAGAACTTTTTAGAAGCTGCCAAAGTGGAAGAAGATAAAGATAAACTTAATCTGCTAGTCAATCACGTTAGTCCTGCTATTTTTGAATAGGTATATAAATAAATACGTAATTTATGAAGATGCTATTAATATTTTGAAAAACATATATGTCAAGCCAAAAGAATGTGATATAGATCTATCCCTTTTTTTGTCAACTATCAAATAATGATACATGACGTTTCGATTTGACATATAGAAATATCAGATTCGGATCTTTGAATTTTGAATTTCGAAGTTTTGTGTGAAATCGTTTTAGTTTTTTGCCGTTTTCTGCATTATTTTCTGATATTTTGTTATATTCGCAATCGGTTTCTTTGGTTAAAACCTGATATATCACTTACCTAAATACTATACCCTGTCGTTTATCCCAGCTGAGGAATCAAAGCGCTAACACATGCTGGCAACCTAAAGAAAAAGTTACTAGAAATGTCAACGCGAACTGTCAACTTCACTTTCTATCGTGATTTCAACTATATTTGCCAGACACTCATTATCGTCAAGAAAACAAATTGGTGAGTCTATAGATCAATATTTACAAACCCTGAAGCTT